CCCTTTCGCAGACTCAAGCATGACATCATGAAGGCAGCCAAGAGGAGAGGAGCTGGACCTGACGCGCTCAGCAACGATCTCTTCCAGGTCGCTCCACAAGAATGCACTCAGATCTTGTTGCCGCTGTTCGTGAAGATAGATATGGCGTCCAGGGAGCCCCTGCTGTTCAAAGGAGGTTGGCAATGCGATCTGCGCAAATCTGGATCCCCTGAACCCCTGGAACACTATAGAGGCATCCTGCTAGGATGTCACACGGCGAAGCTGCACCATGCCTTCCTAAGAAGCAATTTGCTAGAGGCATCGCTGCACATGCTGTCGGTGGTCCAGCAGGGAGGTCTCCCTCAGCGTGGCACTGACATTGCATCCTTGCACCTTCGATCGGCCATGCTAGCAGCCAAAGGTAGGAAGCGCACATACCTGTCGTTGTACACTGATTTGAAGGCGGCATTCTATTCGGTCATTCGAGGGTTTGTTGCCAGAATGGCCCAGAACAGCGGGGACATTCAGAACGCGCTGACAGACTTGGAGGTACCAAGCTGCCTCGAGCCACTTTGCCATGCCCTCGTCGCCAAGCCTGGCGCCCTGGACGGGCTCGAAAATAAGCACCTCCTGGAAGCAGTGGTAGACGTGATGTAATGTAACTGGTTCCAAGTACGTGGGGGCACTAGGGTTGTTTCCCCCCGCCTAGGCACGAGGCCAGGCATGCCACTAGCGGACCTCCTGTTCATCATAGCCTTCGACCCTATCATAGTTGCGGTCAACAATCGATTAGGCGCTCTGGGGGATCTTCAGAAGACCAGGGATGTGGACCCGTCTCAGAGGATTTTCAGAGGTCGAGAGCACGAGCATGCAGAAGAGGATGTATGGGATCCTGCCTTCATGGATGACCTCGTCAACGGCGTCGAGCTGTTAGACGCTAGGCTCTGGAAGGAGGCTGCCATTTCCCTCGTTACGATAATGTACGAAGAAACCAAGTCTAGGGGCTTCACCATGAACTGGAAGGCGGGCAAGACGGAGCTCATGGCCTTCTTCAGCGGCACAGGCTCCAGGAAGGCCCGAGGGGAGTGTGCGGCCCTGGCCGCCACTGGTCTTCTCGTCCCTTCCGTGGGCGTCTCCCTGTGCCTCACTAGGACCTATAAGCACTTGGGCAGCTATCAGGACCACCAAATTTCTTTGGGATCCGAACTGGCACACCGATGCCATCAGCAGCGACGTCCTCTCGGGGTACTGAGGCGCACGGTTTTCCCTAGAAAGCAAGTCAAGTAAAAAGCCAGGCTAATTCATGTTACCTCCTTGTGCACTTTGCACCTTCTGTTTAATGCCCTTACTTGGCACAAACTAAATGTCAAACAGTTGGAGACCCTGGCGCGCAACTATTTGAGCCCGTTTCGGTTGGCGGCTGGACTCGGCTACGATTCTAATTCAGGAAAGGCGGCTGCAGACCACAAGGTCTTTGTCACATGCGAGCTCATGCCCGCTGAGTTGGTGTTGAGGCTTAGGCGGCTGCGATTTCTTCCCAGGCTTCCCAAGTCGGCGCCGGCGTGCTTGCTGGCGATCCTTGACGAGTTAGCATCAGTGCCCGAATCGTGGTCCGCATTGTGCTGCGATGACCTCTTGTGGCTCAGCAGACCTGTGAATCTAGCCAGAGAGTTCCAGCCCTCAGGGCCCCCTGCGTGGTGGCTGTGGCTCCTGAGGTCTAGCAGTATAAAGTTTTGGAAGCGAATCTGCAAGCAAGCGGAGTCTGCTGCTAGGGCTAAGTTTTTGGACGGTCTGCGTCGCGAAGAATTCAGAGACGGGTGGCGGAGGTGCTGCATCTCCAAGGGTCTTGCGCTCCCGTCGTTTCGTCGTCCGCCGTCGGCCCTTGCCTTGTATCTCTGCCTGGGTTGTGGGGCGGTGTTGGCCACCAAGGGCGCATGGGCTTCCCATCGTTCGAAGTGCCGCCCCCACTTAGACCCCGCCCCCAGCTACGTGTCAAGCACCGTGTGCATGGCGTGTGGCCTCAACTTCCACACGCGCCTCAGATTGCTCAAACACGTTCGGCATGGCTCGTCGAGGTGCCTGGCGGATCCTATGGCCGCCCCCCCCCCCCCCCCGTCGAGCCCCGAACAGGTGTTGCAGGCTAGGGCGGAGGGCGCGGAGCTAGCTCGCATGCTCCGTGGGAAAGGCCACTATGCGGAGTCAGCTCAGCTGCCGCCTGTCCTCGCGATAGGCCCTGGGCTGAGGGGGGCGGCTGCTTCCAAGGGCCTTCCCTCGATCTTGCCAAGAATATCCTGCCAGCCCGTGTGTGTCCAGGAAGAGGTGCCCACTCAGGCAGTAATCCACCTGCCCGCGCCCCCTGGCACTGAGAACATTATGATCCCCCGTGCAGCTCCCAGGAGTCTAGGCGACATCCAGGATAGAGCGGAGAGTTCCAGTGCCACGGCGGGGATGCATGTTCTTGTTCTGTCATTCAATATCCTCGAACTTTTCCAGAATTGCATCGAGGGATTCCATAGGGAGCTGTTGTTCATTACCGATTAATTCTGTCTGGGCGTGCTGTTGGTCTCTTGGCAGACCTTCCTCTTACCTCATGGGGCCCTGCCCCCCGCTGCAAAGCCAAGGGTGGAGAAAGCAGGCCTTTCAGAGCTGCGATGAGCCGTGGGGGATTTCAGCTAGGTCGCCCTCGGAGTGGAGGCAGCTAGAGCTCGACAATGCGTGCCTTCGGGCGGCTCTGACGCTGGCGCTGTGTGCGGCGTCCTCGGGCCTGGCGACCTTGCTCACTTTAAACCCACCTGCTCCGCGAGCCCATTTGCCCTGTATTTGGAAAGTCCCCGAGGTCAGGTTCCTGCGCTCCCTGTCGGCAATGTCTCCGACGCTCGCGTCGAGCTGTCTGCCCGTCGGGGACCGTCAGTGCCTGTTCTTGAATGCCGCGCCGACTTCGGCCCCTCCTGACAGCAGCCAGGTTGAGTTCTACCTCGCTGCTGTTATCACTCAGGCTGCCTCGCAACGCTGTGCCCCCACGCCTCCTGGGGATGCATGGCTAGAGGCGTCAGTTGCCCATCTCTATGCCCCGCTCGATCCATATTGCGAGTCGGGTTGATGTTGGCCATTGCTGCTCTCCTTGTCCCCCGCTATACTTGCCGCCCTTCTCACCGCTGACGTATGCATGAGTGGGCACCTCAGACGTTGGTCCTCAGGGCTGTGGGAAGAAAAGGAGGAGGAGGAGGAGGAGGAGGAGGAGGAGGAGGAGGAGGAGTAGGAGGAGGAGGAGGAGGAGGAGGAGGGGGAGGAGGAGGAGGAGGAGGACGAGGCGTGGGAGGGCAGTCCGTCTGAACCAAGCTTGGCTGGGAACCCGTGCGCACCCCCCTGGGAGCAACCACTGCTCGGCCTAGACCTGGACGGCACTCGCTCCCAGGGGGGGGGGTTGCGCCAGCCTGGCCCGGGGTCTTCCGCAGCGCTACCTGGGAGCGCCAGGGCGACCGCGAGGACAATGTAGTGGTCGTCCGTGGGCCCGCCGCCAGCGCCCGCCGCTTGCCCGCCGCCCAGCCCGACCAGCAGCTCCAGCGCTGCGCGCCAGCGCCCTGCTCGGCCGGCAGCGGCGCCGATCCTGGCCAGCTGCTGCCCCCGGGCAGTGCCATCAGCCCGCCGTCGTCTGGGGCTTCCGGCGACTGCCTCGCCGCCGGCGTCGCCAGCGCCCGCTGCGGCGGCTGCGGGCCGCCAGCCGCCAGGCTCCGCCTGGCGCAGGCCATCTGCTTTGCGTAGCTGGCGCGCTGCGGCGACCTGCAGGCCGCAGCTCAGGACACTGTATGCCCGCGCCAGTTCCCGCGGCTGCTGATCCTCGGGCAGCAGGTTCGCCTGCCCGAGCAACCAGAGGCGAGCCTCGGCGCGGAGCCGCCCCCCCGCCTTGAAAACGAGGGGCGTCCACCTGGCGCCAGTGTGGCGGGAGTGTCTGTCTCGCTCCCCCCGGCGGCTGGCCTTCCCGTCCCGCCGAGCGGCCACCCGCAGCTCGGCCTGGGTGCCAGCCGCGGGGTGGCGCGCGGAAGCGTCCAGCCAGCGCCCGCCGTCGTCGTCCTGGCTTTCCAGGTCCACAATTGCGCGTTCGAGGCGGCCGTCTGGGTGGCGGCAGTCTCAGGTCGGCTTCTGTGTGTGTGTGTGGGGGGGCCGTCCGTGAGAGGGAAAAGGACGCTTTCAATTTCTCATCTTATCCTCTACCAACGGATTCGACGGTCGGTTCGATCCTTCGGTTCGCAGCCTTCGTTCACAGCACCCCTCTGCTCGAGGAGGGGCCTTTCGCTTCGCCAGCGTTGAACGAGGCCGCGGGCTCTCTGTATGAGTTCCCCGTGGCGCGCCCCCACGCCCCCACCGAGCTGGCAGGTGAGGGTGAATTTTAAGCAGGGGGCTAAGCGCCCTGACTCGCCTATAGGGCCACCAAACAATGTTTTAGGAACCTTTTGGGGTCTGCGCGACATGTTATGAGAACATTTCCGGCCGAGACTGTCTTGTTTCATCACGTCGAGTTTTTGCTCTAAGAGCTTCGTTCTTGTTCTGAGAACATTTTTGGGTTCTTAAAAGATTTCGTGGTAGGCCTATATGAATGCCGGGACGGTCGGTCCCTGCTCAAGAGGCGGGGGGGGGAGGGGGGGAGGAGGGGGAGGGGGAGGATGAACAGGGGGGTTCTTCTCTTTCGCGCCTGTCGAGGCCCTTCTACGCCGCCGTCGATATTCGGATAAGCACGCCTCGGATCCTCCTCCTTTCCCTTCCCGCCCATCGTCTCCCCTCCTGTTCGGTGCGCGCTGAGCCTAGACCCTCGAACCCCGATCCTTGATCCTCGAGGCCCGATCATCGAGCCTAGACCCTTCTCGATCCTCGATCCCCGAGGCCTGATCCTCGAACCCAGGCCCTTCTCGATCCTCGAGCCCAGACCCTCGAGGCCCGATCCTCGAGCCTCGCGCTTCGTGCCTTTGCCCCCTTCTCGATCCTCGAGCCTGGACCTTCGGAACCCCGATCCTCGATCCTGCCAGGGCTCCGCCAGCAGTTCGAGGGCGCGCCCTCCTGGGTCAGGGAGGAGCCCGTGGGGCCCGCCTTCCTGGTCTACTACGCCCCTGCACTGCTGCAGAAGGCACGTCGTCGACCGCGGTGCTGCTGCTCCTCTTCCTTGCGACGCTGGCTCCTCCTCCTCCCTCCTCCTCCTCCTCCCTCCTCCTCCTCCTCCTCCTCCTCCTCCTCCTCGTCCTCCTCCTCCTCCTCCTCCTCCTCCTCCTCCTCCTCCTCCTCCTCCTCTCCTCCTCCTCCCCTCCTCCTTCTCCTCCTGCTCCTCCTCCTCGTCCTCCTCCCTCACCTCCTCCTCCTTCCTCCTCCTCCTCCCTCCTCCTCCTCCTCCTCCTCTCTCCTCTCTCCTCCTCCCCTCCTCCTCCTCCTCCTTCTCCTCCTCCTCCTTCTCCTCCTTCTCCTCCTCCTCCTCGGTCTCCTCCTCCTCCTCCTCCTGCTCCTTCTCCTGCTGCACCTCCTCCTCCTCTTCCCCCCGTTCGCGGTGGGCGGCTGCCTGGCTTCGGGGCGGCGGCCTTTGGCCTTTCACCCCCCTCCAAGGCTGGCGCGGGCGCCCGAGCTCGGCGTCCTTGCGACGCTGGCTCCTCCTCCTTCTGCTTCTCCTCCTCGTGCTTTCCCTGCTCCCCTTCGCCAAGGTTCGAGGACCATTTTTTTTTGTTTCTTCCCGGGGGGGGGGGGGGAATTGCTTGTGTTGTTGCAGCTGCTGCTGTTGCTGTTGCTATTGCTGTTGCTGTTGTTGCTGTTGCTGTTGCTGTTGCTGTTGCTGTTGCTATTGCTATTGCTGTTGCTGTTGTTGCTGGTGTTGTTATTGTTGTTGTTGTTGCTGCTGTTGCTGTTGTTGTGATTGTTGTTGGTTGTTGTTGGTTGTTGTTGTTGGTGTTGGTGTTGTTGTTGTTGTTGCTGTTGTTGTTGTTGTTGTTGTTGTTGTTGTGGTTGTGGTTGTTGTTGTTGTTGTTGTTGTGGTGGTGGTGGTGGTGGTGGTGGTGGTTGTTGTTGTTGTTGTTGAACATTATCACTTCTAAAGAATAATTATTGTTGGGGCCCCTGGTGCGCGACCCCCCCGCCGCGCCTAGGCCGCAGCCTCATTTTCATCATGTTCGTGAGGAAGTCTCAGGCAAAACGGGTTGGTCCAGATCCGGTTGTGTTGTTACGATCGGTTTTCCCTTGCAAAAAATAAGCTAAAGTGGACATTTCTTGTTCTAACATAACCAAACTTCAAGAATCCCTTGCAAAAAATAAGGTAAAGTGGACATTCGCGCGCGCAAGACGAAATCCTTCCAAAACCTTAGTTTTCGTAGCGATTTTAACATAAAAACATCAAAAAACCAATGGTTTTTCAAAACAAAAATTGTCAAAATTTCATCCCGCGCGCTCTTGCGGATTCGTAGGAAACCCAACACTTTTTAATCATTTCTGTCAAACGGGCTTTTGCGAGCAACTTTTTCGAACTTCTGCAACAACGGTTGCGCACCTGCCAGGGCCATCATCCCTGTCAAATAATACCATGCGGGACACATTCGTTTTTTCTTCGCGCGCGCACGCCGTCGTCGTCGGCCGCGGGGCCCTGAATAGTAGCCACGGTCGTCCGCATGCCACGAAGTGAAGTGTCCGAACGTCATAGGGCGGGAAGCTGGGTGTGGGTGGTGGCGAAGAGTCGTTTGGAAATTTGGTAGAGCTTGAACCGGCCCCCCCACAAAGTGGGGGTATTGCCCGCCTCCTATGAAAACCCTGGCACTGGTGAGAACGGTGTGTCCCCACGTGCTAGTAATTGTTGTTGTTGTTGTTGTTGTTGTTGTTGTTGTTGTTGTTGTTGTTGTCGTTGTTGTTGTTGTTGTTGTTATTCGATTTTTCCAGAGCCCCGGAGGGCCCCAGATGCCTCCACAGGCGTTGGAAAGCCGCCAGAAACCTTAGGAGACCTCAGGAGACGTCTGGTCCTCCCTCCTCCCTGTCCGTGCGCGCTGGCATCTCTTGTCTTTCTGCATGCTGCTTCTTCAGCCGACGAAAGTGAGACGAATGCGCGGTGTTGTGTCTCTATCGTTGCGTGTTGCTCGTGAAGTTGTGCCCCGGACTCTGCGGGTATCTGCGGAGAGCTCATGCTTATATAACTAACCACCGAACTTGCACATCACGTCCATTAGACCTGGGCCGGCACGGAAACGGGAAGAGCGCCTCAAACACATGAACCGAAATTACCGTTCGTACTGGGAGCCTTGGCGTTGAGATCATGTTACGTCACCCCTCGCTTCTCCTCCTCCTTCTCCTCCTCCTCCTCCTCCTCCTCCTCCTCTTTCTCCTCCCCCTCCTCCGCCTCCTCCTCCGCCTCCTCCTCCTCCTCTTCCTCCTCCTCCTCCTCCTCCTCCCCCTCCTCCTCCGCCTCCGCCTCCGCCTCCGCCTGAGTCTCCGCCTCCGCCTCCGCCTCCTCCTCCTCCTCCGCCTCCTCCGCCTCCTTCTCCTCCTCCTCCTCCTCCTCCTGCTGCTCCTCCTCCTCATTTCCCTCCTCCTCCCTCCTCCTCCTTTTCCTGCTCCTCCTCTCCTCCTCCTCCTCTCCTCCTCCTCCTCCTCCTCCTCCTCCTCCTCCTCCTCCTCCTCCTCCTCCTCCTCCTCCTCCTCCTCCTCCTCCTCCTCCTCCTCTTCGGGCGCGCTTGGGAGCCTATTGGGGCCCTCTTGGGCTCTCTTAGGGCCCTCGGGGCCCTCTTGGCCGTATTGGGGCCGTCTGGGGGCCATCTTGGGCTGTTTTGGGCCCCTTTGGGGCGCCTCTGGGGCTGTCTTGGGATGATCTTTGGGGCCTCTTAGGCCGTCTTGGGCCCGTCTGGTGGCCCTCTTGAACCGTTTTGGGCTCGTTTGGGCGCCTCCGGGGCCGTCTTGGGACGATATTTGGGGCCTCTGGGCCGTCTTGGGCCCATCTGGGGGCCCTCTTGGACCGTGTTGGGCCAATTTGGGGTGCCTCTGGGGCTGTCTTGGGACGATCTTTGGGGCCTCTTGGGCCGTCTGGGGCCCTTCTGGGACGGAAAAGGGGAGAACCCAAAAACCCGAGGGGGAACCCGAAAACGGCCATTAGACCGCAGTTGGGCAACCCTCGCCCCCCTCCGCACTCCCCCTAAGGGGCTTCGCCCACACCAGAACGTCATCACTCGTACCTCGCTCTTTCCGTTACTTCACAATGGATCGGGTTTTTCTTGATATGAGGGGTGGGCTTTTTGGAGATGCATTACCAAATGTGGGTACGTTTGCTGAACCCACACATGTGCACACGTTTGCTTTGCTTGAGCCTCGCTGACCCTGCCCAGCTCGTTCGCTCGGTTATCTATTTGGCGGGGTGGGTGGATGGGACACATCGCGTCCTTCTTCGCTGCTGCTAGGAGCTGCGCCTAGACGCCAGCCCACGACCGAATAGACCAAACTTTCCCTCCATACCCGTTCTTGCCCGCTACCCTCCTCCCTTCCACCTCATCTATCCTTTCCCTCCCTCCTCCTCGCCTCCCTCTCCTCCTCCTCCCTCCTTCTCGCCCCTCTGCCCCCCACTCTTCCATATCTTCACAATGCAACATCCGTCCTCCTCCCCTCCTCCATCTTCGTCCCTTCTCCTGTTCTCGTCAGGGTGCGCTGCGGCTGGGGCCCGTCTGGGGTCTGGGCAGTCTGTGACTCAGGTGATTGGCGGGGCTCGCTGGGGTTGGTGCCCCTCGGGCGCTCCGTGTGTCCCGCCGTGCTGGACGGGACGTCGACAGGGCGGGTCGTTGTCCATTGCTCTCCTCTCCCCCTCCGCCTTCCCCAGGTCCTCCTGGTCCTCCTGATCCTCCTGGTGGTCCTGCTCCTGCTGTTGCTACTCCTCCTGCTCCCGGTCTTGCTGCTGCTGCTCGTGTTCCTCCTGCCTCTGCCTCGTCTTCCTTATGTCTTGGTGCTCGTCCGCCACCTCCTCCTCGACCAGCGCAGGGCCCCCCCCCTCTGCTTGCGCGTCGCGCGACGGGGTCATTTGGGACATCGAGGTCCTCTAGGTCGCCCTAGTCGGCGGATGCTTGTGAATTCAGCGCATGGCGAAGAGATGGGGGGGGGCGCGAAGGATGCCCTGCGAGATTCGGGCGCGTCTGGGTTGTCCTCCTCTTTCTCTTCGCCCCTCCGTCTCCTCCCTTTCCCCGCTTCGGCGACCGAGCGAGGGCGGGGTGGGGCTGGGTGATGATGGCGGTGGTGGTGAGCACGGGTTAGGCGAAATGATGATGAGGATGCGGATGAGGATGGGGATGGGGACGAGGATCAGGATGATGATGGGGATTGCGGCGATGCTGCTGACGATGAGGGGGGTGATGATGATGAATCGCATGATGATGATTGCGATGGCAATACTTATGGTTATGATGGTGATGATGCGGATGAGGATGATCGGGCTGATGATGCTGATTATGCCGATCGTGATCGTGGTGGAGGTGATGCTGACGATGCTGCGGATGATGATGAGGATGATGATGAGGATGAGGATGGGGTGGCTGTTAATGATGGTGGTGGTGCTGATGGTGGGTTGGGGGTTGCGATGATGCTGCTGACGATGAGGACAAGGGTGATGATGATGAATGGTATGACGATGAGGTTGACGATGGTGGTGGTGCTAATGCTGATGGTGCTGATGATGATATGGCGGCTGATGGTGGTGATGGTGGTGATGATGATGACGGTGCTTGTGGCGATGATGCCGATGCAGACGATGGTGATGGCGACGGCGGTGAGTATGATGATGATAATGGTGGCGCTGATGATGATGCTGATGCTGATGGTACTGCTGATGATGATTATGCTGCTGCTGCTGATGGTGTTGGTGAGGTTGATGCTGCTGCTGATGGCGACGGTACTGATGCTGACAATGATGATGTTGTTGCTGATGATTCTGCTGTTGTTGATGATGATGCTGTTGATGATTGATGGTGGTACGGTTGATGACGATGGTGGTGCTGACGATGATGATGTTGGTGATGGCGATGATTTGACGATGGTGATTCTGATATTCGTGCTGCTGCTGTTGCTGATGGTGGCGATGATGATGGTGATGATGACGGCGATGATGGTGATTATGATGATGATGATGATGATGATGATGATGATGATGATGATGATGATGATGCGGATGATGATGGTGATGGTAGTGGTGGTGATTCTGATGAGGATTCTCATGCTGATGGGGCTGGTGATGCCGATGATGATGATGGTGGTGGTGGTGGTGATGATGCCCATGATGATGAGCAGGAGGATGAGGTGGGTGATGGAACTGGTGGTGGTGAGGTGATGGTGGTTATGATGATGATGACCATGATGATGATGATGATGATGATGATGATGATGATGATGATGATGATGATGATGATGATGATGATG